TTTTTTTTTTTTTTTTTTTTTTTTTTTTTTTTTGGTAATTTGGGTTTTTTTTTTTTTTTTTTTTTTTTTTTTTGCTGTACGCGGGCCTCTCACGGTTGTGGCCTCTCCCGCTGCGGAGCACAGGCTCCAGACGCGCAGGCTCAGCGGCCATGGCTCATGGGCCCAGCCGCTCCGTGGCATGTGGGATCTTCCGGGACCGGGGCGTGAACCCGTGTCCCCTGCATCGGCAGGCGGACTCTCAACCACTGCGCCACCAGGGAAACCCAAAATAAATTTTTTTTAAATAAATAAAATGATTTCTTCTCTGCAGGGAAAATGGTTTAAGTTAACAAAAAACACACTTTAGCAACCACAAGCTGTCCCTGTCGGCTTTGGAGGTGAGGGTTACTCTGGGAAACTGACAGTCCTTAGATGGGCTTCCAAACGTGTTGTAGCTTCATCTTCTATACGTGTATTCAAGTAAAAGATAAGTGACAAAAATACCGTGAATTATTTGAGCTCAGAAGTGTGGCAGAGTTCAGCCCATACTCCCAAACCCTGCTGTGGGTGGGGCGGGGCGGGTGAGGCAGGGCTGCTGTGGCAGAGACTCTGCCTCTTCTCATGGAGCAGTGCTCAGCTCCAAAGACCAGGGACTGTGCCCGCTCCTATGCCTGTGCCCCTGGGGCTTTTACCTACTTTGTTTTCCACCTAACCTTTACAGGATGAGGCAAGTGGACATGAAGGGAAGCTGTCACTTTCTCCACTTTCATTGGCTAAATTAGTAAGACTCAGAAAGATTAAGTAGCCAGCCCCACTTCTACCCCATTCCATATTACACTATCACAGCAGCATCACTGCTGCTATCAGAGCTTGAAACTAAACCCTCTATTATTTTTATGCTGCTTCATGTCTGCCTCTCCCCCACAAAAATGTCCACAGAAACAAAGACTGTGTCTTTTGTAGGCACTACTGTGTCCAGAACTTGGTATGATGCCTGGCACAGAAAGATTAACTTTTACAATATTTGCTGAGTAAACATTAGGTTTATTAGGTAATAACCTTTTTTTCCCCCCTCTTTCCTTTACTGTCTAACTACTGACTAGAACATAAGAAGGAAGAAACTATTTTTTTGAACCATTACATTCCTAGCATGGAGCACGGGACCTGGCATAAATTAAATGCTCAATAAACGTTTGCTGAAATAAATGAGTGAGTGAATGAATGAATGAATGAGATAGTTTTGCTGGAGCCTCCACTGTGGTGTCTGACTGCCACCCCATACTCCACCAGGGGTCCAGGGCCTGGCAGATTTGCTCACACACTCGGCCACCTGATAGATCGTGTTCTTCAGAATGAGTTTATGCTATTTCATAAGGTATCATTAGTGACATTTGGTTGGCACTAAGGATAAAAATGTCCCCCTGCAGTTCCAAGCCAAAGGTTATATGACAGTGAGGGAGAAATGCAGTACATGTTAAAAACAAGTAATGAAGTCCAGAGGGCTTTTGGAACTTTTTATTTGCACAAAGCCCTCATTAATGAACGAAGTCATTTTTACAACTTAAGGGATGATTTTCAAGGACTGATGAGGATAGAAAATCTATAACTGAGGGACTTTTTTTTAATTTTTTTAAACTTAAATTTTAAAAAAATTTAAACTTTCATCTTAAAATTGTGCTTTTCTTGACATCCTGGATTTGCCCCACAACATCTACAGGAGGATGACTTCTTCCTGGGTGAAGAAAGACGACAGGCCTCAGAGGAAGCAACTTCCAAAGCTACTGTTGGCTTTTGTTTGATTTTTCTTTTCCCAAGTATTACAGGCTAAGCACCTTTGCCTTGGAAGAGAAGAAAAATAGCTCATTTAATTTCTATCTCCAGATCCTGTTTCTGTCTTAAATAAACCAAATGGGATGTTTTTCAACCACATCAGAGTGGAACAAAGACTTAAAGAAGAATTAGGGGGATTTTCTAGGTAGAAGCATATTCCCTTGCTAAGAATATAGGAAAATTCAGGTTTCCATTAGAGAAAGTTTTATCTAAATAATTAAAGTTATATTCCAAAATTAATCAGTTCCTTTGATCAGTTAATTATCAATGTTGTCTCCCTAAATATGTTTTTCTTTTGAATAAGGACACTTTTCTTTCAAGTGTCCTTATTCAAAAGCCATATGTGATGACAACGTTTATTAACTCCAAACTTAAAAAATAAAACTCCAAGACTTCAGCCCGGATGTCTAGTATCTCATTTCCTGAAAAGCTCATGGTGATTTTACAACCAGGAACTAAGGAGCAATTTGCAACTTGAGCTTCCAAAGCCACCCTGGAAAGCAGACTGTCTCCCAGGCAACCATCTGACCAATTCATCTGCCAAAAACACTGGATGAAATCTATCAATGGAATCGCAGTGGGAGGTTTGGAAGGTTTGGAAACTTTGTCATTGTTTTGCCAAACTTTCAAAATACAATCTAATTCCCCTTCCTAGACCTAATAACAGCAGCTAAAATGTATCAGATGCTTACAAGGTAATTAGGCACAACCCTAAGTGTCTGACAAGCATGATCCCTTTTTTCAACACCACAATTCCATGAGAGTGTTACTATTATATTCATTTTCCTGATGAGAAAACTGGGGCTTTACAAGATCACAGAACTTGACCAACAAAAGTCAGTTAGTAAAAGCTGCTGCTTCTGCGTAGTGCATCCGTTTATCCATTTAACAAACATCCGCTGATGACCCACCATTGGCCAAGCCCTGTTTCAAGCTCTGAGAATTCCCTGAAGAACAAAACAAAAAGGTGCTTGTCCTGGGATACTTCTCATGCCTGAAGGTTTGACTTTTAAGGAAAGTAAACTAAGATCATCTTTTCTTTTCTTTTCTTTTTTTTCCTTTCGAACAACTGCTTAAAATTGACTTCTCAAACTTGAACTATCTTCCTAAGGCTATACACTGTAAAATAAAACTCAACTTTGTCAGGAAGGAGATGAATTTTAACCCCAAAAAGCTTGTCATTAAGTGAATTATATTTGATTGTCACCCTAGAAGGAAAGTGAACGATTTCCATTAACAGGAGATAATCCAGGGTCAACAGGGAGGGGAGCCCCGCATAACCCCAAACATCCTCACCCACCGGACTTCTAAAGACCTGCTAGCATACAAGGAAGCTGTGCTCCTCTAACTAAGTCATTTTAAACAAGGTGATAACTGCTGAGGGTAAAGGGGAAATGGAGGGATTTCCTGGGAAGAAAGCTAGAATTAAGCAAACTCATCTACAACCTAATAATCAGTCCCGACCTAAAACAAATAGGCAAGGAAAAAGTAATAATTAATAAATCATAGCCAGAGAAAGTTCTGTCCACATTTCCTTTCAGTTACTGAGCTGACAAATGAGGCTTTATTAATTTGATGCATAGAAAGGTCAACAGAAAACCGAAAGGAGAGGACAGAGTTTAGCAAAGCAACACATGCAAATATCCCCACACATGGCTATGAAAAACCCACAATAGCAATCGCCTCAGAGTCCCTTATCATTGCTTTCTTATTATCATTTTATAGTGCTAGTTTCTAAAGCACTGAAGTATTTAAAGGTATCATTTGGCATGGTTTTATCATAAAATCTTCTATAACTACAAAGCTAATCATTATTCACATCACAACATAAGTCAGGGTAAAGTCAGTATGCTCAGTTTAGTCAAGAAAAATAGAAGAGCAGGAGATT